TAACCCCTTCCCTCCCCTGCTGCTTCCCCGGGGCTGAGCCCTGCCTCTCCCCAGTGTGCAGGGCTCTGGCCAGTCTCCATACTGGTCAGGAGCTGCCCAGCCTGGTCCAGGGATGATGCTGTGGGGTTCTGCCCAGCCCAGTTTCCCCATCACAGAGCGGCCAAAATCCTTCCAGTTTCCCATGTGGTTCTATGGGAGCAGACCTTTAAACCCCCTTCTTCTGGTTTCGCCACGGCGAATTAAATCCCGGCGGCAGCCTGAGAAGGGGAAGTGGGTTTTCCTGGTAAGAGGGGCTTTCGGCTTTCCACCACCCAAAGGTTTTTCTCTGGCTCTGCCACTGCAGGCTGCGGTTTGCCCTCGTGCTGGCAGCACGCGGCTGGGATGGAGCAGCCAGATGTGGTCCTTAGGTCCCCATCACTGGTCACCGGTGCCACACCAAAATTTGCAGCTCGTGGGGCTGGGCAAGGGGTCACACAAGTTCATGGACAGGCAGCGGGGCCGAGGTTGATGGCAGCATCGTTCCTGCCTCCGCCGCTGCTGCCCCCAGCCCATTGCTTCCCCTCGCTGAGCCTCGGTTCCTCTTTACGGTCAAACGGGACAATGAGAGCGACCCAAAACCACGGAGACGGTGGGGAGGGGGCTCTGCCATGGGGTCCAGGGATGGATTTTGGGTGTGAGGGTTTCTGCCCACCCTCCATCCAGCGTTTCCCCCAATAAACCCCCTCCATCACCCTGCTCACCCACCTGGCTCCCACCCGCAGGTGGAGGAAGGTGCTTTTGTCAAAGAAAACTTCGATGAGCTCTGCTGGACCCTGACGGCGAAGAAGAATTACAAACCCAACCGGAACGGGAACAGCGTCATATCCCACCAAGATGCCTTCAAGCTTTGGTGTCTCTTCAACTTTCTGTCTGAAGACAAATACCCGCTCGTCATGGTGCCAGACGAGGTAGGACCTGCCTGTCCCCCCCATCCCCACCCTCCCAGGGCTTTGGGGGGTGACACATCCCACTGTCACTTCCCGGCGTGTCCCACTGCATCCTGCAAGGTGTGATGCTCTGGGGTGTGAGAGGGAGCAGGTTGGGGGGGGGAGGAGGGGGCTGGACCCCTCCAAAATGCCGAAGCCTCGCAGGTATAGATGTCTTGGAGGATGAGGTGTGGGCTGGTCTGTATTCCTCTTCCACGAGCCAATGAGCTCTTTGTGACATGAAGGTGCCAGTTCTCAGAGCCCCCAAAAAAGGAGCATCCACAGCTCAGCTCCTCCTGGGGCTGGTCCCTCGCCTGAAGCCCTGGAATCTCACCCAAGGGTTGAGCTGAGCTGGGTGCTGGAGGAGGACTCCTGGTTTTCATGGGGGAGAACGAAGATCATAGAATCAAGGGTTTGGGTTGGAAGGGACATCAAAGACCATTGAGTCCCACCCCCTGCCATGGGCAGGGACACCTCCCACTAGCCCAGGTTGCCCAAAGCCTCATCCAGCCTGGCCTTGAACCCCTCCAGGGATGGGGCAAGATGATGAGAAACCCTCCGAACCTGGTGCGATGGGAGGTGGCTCCCCGTGGAATCACCGTTGGGCTGGATGGGGCTGCGTCACTTGGGCTGTTTGGTGCCACCACCAAGGCAGGGGCAGAGCTGGTTGTCCCCTCTCCGTGCCCGCTGCTACCAGGCGCCCACCCCCTGCCCAGCACCCGGAGAGTTAAGAGCGAGGGACCCAGCACAGCAAAGCTTCTGGCAGTAATCTCCAAATCCCCAAATTCCAGCCGGCATTTGGAGGAGGAGGTTCAGATCAAACCCCCATGAGAAGGTGGCAGATCTGGGGAGGAGGGACAAGCTCCGAAGCCAAGAGTGGACCAGGCAGGAGCAGCTCAGCTGGGCCAGCAGCTGCCATCTGCTTCTCCACCCTCAACCTCCTGAGATCAGCAGAAAAACCAAAAAAAAAAAAAAAGAGGGGGGGGGGGGGCAACAAAAATACAAGAAGTGCAGTGCTGCGCAGACGTAGCCGGGCGACCGCACTTCCTGCGCCCCGGGAGAGGTGTTTCCTGTTCCCCAGACCGTGACAAACTGAATCATCTTTCTGCTTACTGGGCTGAGCTTGAAAAAAAAAAAAAAAGAAGAAAAAAAACTACATTAAATTCTTCCCCTTCTCTTAGTTAGATGATGTAAAATAATCCAGCTGGGTGCGGGGACCCTGCTGCGTGGCTCTCTGCACCCTCCTTGGTCCCTCCACCGTGAATAGAGGAGAGCTGACAGCAAAATAAGTGTTCCCAACATCATGTCAACCATTTTAGCTCTTTTTCTAAAGCAATTTATTTCCAATTTCAAAACAACACTCATGTCCTCTGTAGGGACCTTTTCCCCTGCTCCTCCCCGATGTTTTCACGATGTCAGCTGGGACCAGAGCAGTGCTGAGCTGGGGGCCGTGGTCCCAGACACTCGCCTTGGGCTGGGTGTGGAGACAGCAGCGTCCGTCTGTTCTCCATCAGGCACTTGACTTGTGCAGAGTTTTCTCACTCTGCAGACAAACAAGCCCAAAACATCTCAGACTTGTGGTTAAAAGGAAAAACCTCCCAGTGGTGGTCAAGCTCCAACCCAACGTCAACCTCCAGAGCCAGCCTGCTGCCTGGATGAGCTTGGCCATGACCTGAAAGAGGGGAGATGGAGATATTGGGAAGAAATGTTTTCCTGTGCGGGGGGTGAGGCACTGGCCCAGGTTTCCCAGAGAAGCTGTGGATGCCCCATCCCTGGAGGGGTTCAAGGCCAGGCTGGATGAGGCTTTGGGCAACCTGGGCTAGTAGGAGGTGTCCCTGCCCATGGCAGGGGGTGGAATGAGATCATCTAAAGATCTCAAAAGATCTTCAGATCTTAAAAGGTCCTTTCCAACCCAAACCATTCCATGATTCTAAGATTCCTCTGGGATAAGGCTCCTGCATCTTCCAGGCTGGAAGGAGATGTGGTCTTGGGGTCTCCACAGTGGTCCGTTGGGGTGGGGATGGCTCTTGCTTCTCCCCGTTGAAGAGTTTGTTGTCCCTGTAGGTGGAATACCTGCTGAAGAAGATCTGCACGGCCATGAACGTGGAGCTGAACTCCTGCGAGCTGGATGACTACCTGTCCCAGGAGCCGCAGGGGCAGGGTGGGCTGACGGTCTGGCAGTTCCTGGACATGGTGAACTCGGGGCGGTTCCTGCGAGGCATCGAGCAGGAGGCCGTCAGCATGGCCGTGGAGGAGGTGTACCAGGAGGTCATCGAGGATGTGCTCAAGCAGGCAAGGAGCCCACATGTCCTAGGGCACAAAAAAAGCCCCCCGTGCTGCCCCACCACCCCAGTTTTGATCCCCATGTCTCTCGGGCGCAGGGCTACCTCTGGAAGAAGGGCCAGCTGAGGAGGAACTGGTCGGAGCGGTGGTTCACGCTGAAGCCCAGCGTCCTGTCCTACTACATGAGCGAGGAACGGAAGGAGAAGAAGGGGAGCATTGCGCTGGACAAACACTGCTGTGTGGAGGTACGGGGACATCCCCTGCAGACCCCAGGAAGGGGAACCCAAGAACACACCATTTCCCATCCATGAGCATGGGAGAACTAGTCCTATGGCTGGAGAAAGTGGGGATAAAGTGGGGTACAGGGGGGGGGTGACCCCATCCCGTGTCCTGTCCCTGCAGGTGCTGCCCGACCGCGATGGGAAGCGGTGCATGTTCTGCGTGAAGACCTCCTCCCGCACCTACGAGATGAGCGCCTCTGACACCCGCCAGCGCCAGGAGTGGACGTTAGGTCCGTGCCCAACCTACACCCCCCCTCCCCAGCTTCCCACCGCACCCCCCAGTGTCTCCACTGACTGTCCCCTTCCCTCCCCAGCCATCCAGACGGCCATCCGGCTGCAGGCAGAGGGCAAGAAATCCCTGCACAAGGACCTGAAGCAAAAGCGACGGGAGCAACGGGAGCAACGGGAACAACGCAAAGCGGCCAAGGAGGAGGAGACGCAGCGGCTCAAGAGAGAAGGAGAGTACGCTGCAGGAGCTGGAGCTGCTGAAGGAGGCCCAACGGCAAGCAGAGATACTCCTGCAAGAGGAGGAGCAGCGGCGGAGGCAGCAGCACGAGGAGATGCAGAGGACCCTGGAGATCCAGCTGCGGGAGGCGGAGGAGGTGGGTGCATCCTCATGGCGTGGCCCGCCATGGGGCTGCGTCGCTCATGGGGTGGGGGCTTCCCTCCCCTTCCCCTGCCCATAGCAGCCCAGGGGGTTTGGAGGTGCTTCTAGGAGCACATCCTGCTCCTGCAGCAATGCTGCTGCCACCCGTCACCTCTGGGGACCCAGGGACAAGGGAGCAGGGGGGGTCAGAACCACTGTGTGGGAGGTACCTGAGGAGCAGGGGACAACCTGTCCCGGGGTTTGTGATGCTGGGGGGAAAGCGAGGGGCAAGTGCTAGTGCCAGAATGGCCACGGAGCCCATGTCTGACCCGCAGCCAGCGCTGGCTCCAAAGGACGTGGTGTGTCACCCGAGCAGGGACAGAGCCCTGCTTTGGAGCTCTCTCCCCAGCGTGGGAGATGTCTGGCCCTGTCCACCCAGGGTAAGGGGGTCCTGGGGACAGCCCCCCGCGCTGATGGCTCCTCTCCCCGCCGCAGGCTCGTGCCTCCATGCAGGCGGAGATGGTGCTGAAGGAGGCGGAAGCAGAGCGGCAGCGCAAGCGCATCCTGGAGCTGGAGGAGATGCAGGAGCGTCTGCAGGAGGCTTTGCAGCAGGAGGTGAAAGCGCGGCAGGACGAGGAGTCCGTGAGATACGCTCAGGCCAGGTAGGACCAGAGCATCCCCGCTCCTCCTCGACCAGCCCTGCTCCCGGGGGAGCGGCTGGGCATGGGGACACTGTCCCCAGGGCAGTGCTCCCCATGGTACTGGGGTGTGCTGGTGGCTTCCCAGTATGCCAGCAGGGAGTGGGGAAGCTGGCGGATGAAGGGCAGAGGGACATTGTCACATTTTGCTCTTCCTTGACAGGCTCCTGGCTGAGGAAGAGGAGAAGCTGAAGCAGCTGATGAAGCTGAAGGAGGAGCAGGAGGAATATATCATCAAAACGCAGCGGGAGAAGCAAGTCCTGAAGCAGGAGATGGAGACCAAGAACAAGATTCTGGAAGAGGCGCAGAAGCAGCTGGAAGAAGTGCGAGTGAACAGGCAGCGGGTGGACCAGGACGTCATGGTGAGCATCACCTCGGTGCCACATCCCTTCCCGCTCTGACCCCAGGGGACTTCCCAGGGTCACCTCCACACTGGGGAGGACCCAGCAGTTTTGGGGACCAAAATGACAGCGCCTCGGGGTTTTCTGAGTTGTGCCATGCACGGGCACAGGGTGAATCGGTGGCTGAGATGGGACAAGCGTGTCCTGCCCAGGGGGACAGCGCTCGTGTCCAGAGCAATGTCGACAGTGGGAGTGTGGGGAGGGGAGGGTTGGAGGAGGAGGAGAAGACCCAGAGGAGGGTGAGCTGAGGCTCCAGCCTGGAGGAAAGCCTCCTCCAACCCAGGCTCGCTCAGGGAAGGCAAACTCCTGCCCGCGGTCCTGGTCTGGGGGCTGTAGGGCAGCCAGGTCACCCCTCTGCTCCGTCCCCTCCCAGGCGGCCCAGCGGAAGCTGCGACAGGCCAGCACCAACGTCAAGCATTGGAACGTCCAGATGAACCGACTGATGCACCCCATTGGGCCGGGAGGTAAGAGACCCCCCCCTCACACCCACCCCTGCCATGCTGGGGCATGCACCCAGGCTCCCACCTATCTCCCCGTCTTTGGGGTCATCTGGGGGCTGGAAGGACCCCTGTCTTTCCAAGGAGATACCCCAACACCCCTGGCAAGGAGAGACCCCGCAACCATTTTCCTTATCTGGAAGGTCACTTTGGACAATCCTGTTTTTCTCTCTGTCCCCAGAGAAGCGTACGAACGTGAGCAGCGTAGGCTTCGCTGGCTACCAACCTCTCCTCTCCCGGAGAGATTCCTCCCTCAAACTCAAGCAGAAAGTGGAGGATAAAAGCAACAACCCCACGACGGACAACAGCAAGGAAAACGTAAGCAACGGTGGGAACAGCAGCGTGTCGCCATCCCCGGATGCGGACACCATGGCCACGGAGCCCACCAACTAGCCCGGCAGGATGGCAGAGCCCAGCGGGGTCTGTGTCCGAGCAGACACAGTCCATACGGCCATCTCTGGATGGAGACAAGTGGGGACCAGCACAGAGCCTATAAGTGACTACCTATAGGGCAGAGACGTTCCCATTTTCTTCAGGGAAGCGCTGCAGCCACGACGTGCCAGAGGCTCGGACAGCCCAGCGTGTGGGAGAAGGCAGCGGGACCATCTCCTCTGGGCTGCCCAGGCGTGGGACCTGGACTCAACTCCCCAGACTCTTGTTTCCACTCTAAAAAAAAAAAACCAAACACCAGGAGGTCTGGACCACATGGCTGGGGCTGCAGTTCCCCCTCGGTTTCTACCTGCAGCCCTCCTGCATCGCCCGCTGTGCCCCGGGGTGTGTGGTCCTGCGACGGCGGCCGCCAGGGAAGCCTTGGCAGCCTTCTCGCTGCCCCTGCAGAAAGGCTGGGGTGTCCTTAACGAACACGTGCATTCCCTGAAGGTGGCTGTTGGCCGCTGGAGTCACGTAGATGTTAACAGAAACCAAGAAGCAATAAAGGTTTTGGAGCCGCTGGCCCGCAGCCCTCCTTCCCCGCACGGCTGTGGCCCTGCAGGCACCAGAGCTCCCTCCTCAGCACCGCGGGGTTTTGATTCCCGCTGCAGAAAAGAGCCCGTTGAAAGAAAACACACACCACCTGTGGAAAGAGGCCCCACCAGTGGATTTTGGGTGGGTCTGTGGAGGGCCAAGAGGGATGCAGATACTGGTGAAGTGGTCCCAGAGGAGGAATTCACCTCTGGGAAGCAGGGTTGGTGCAGGGGGGGTCTTCTGGGAAGGGCCAACACGGCCTTGTGATTAATTAAGTGCTTGTATAGGAAGGTAACAGTGCTCGGACTTCGTTTAGGTGTTTGCCCTTGGGCTGTAGGAGTCCCTGTTCCAGGAGTCCTGGTTCAGGATCTGCTCCAAGGCCCACAGAGGGCAACAGCAAAGACTCCCAGGGACCATCCGAACCACGAGCCAGTGGACGTGGCAGCTCTCTTCAGTAACGCTGCCCTGGCCTGTCTCCTCCAGCTCATTTGCTCCCCAAAAGACTGAGAACAAAAGCTGAGTATGCTGGCAAACCTCCCTGAAAAAAAAAAAAACAAAAAACAAAAAACAAAAAAAAACCAAAAAAACCAACAAACAACAAAACACACCAAAAAACCAACGCCAACATCAGGGTTGGTTTTTCCAAACACCGCTGTTTAAATACAGTCCTGTTCACCTGTGACTTTGGGGTCTTTATTGCGCAGGGCACAGAGCCCCCGATCACACAAGGGTCCCCTCTGGGAACAGGCACTAGTAGCAAGCCCTGCATCAAACCCTGGTTGACAGTTGCTCATGCTGATTAACTGCAGTTCGTTAGGGAGATTACAATCTCTTTCCTACTGTGTGGCTTTCAGCA